AGGTGCATAAGAGCTAAAGGTCCAACACGGAAGAGTCGAGGCTACATGAAAGAATCGCAATGGATGTAGCTGGACCGTTCCCAACAAGCGACTCTGGGAACCGGTATGTCTTAGTGGTCATGGATTACTTCAGTAAATGGCCAGAGGTTTATGCTATCCCAAATCAAGAAGCCAGGACAATTGTGGATGTGTTCAGCAGAAATTGGATTTGTCGCTATGGTGTTCCATCTGAGGTTCATTCCGATCAAGGGAGGAATTTTGAATCAGCGATCTTCAAGGAAATGTGTGACTCCTACGGAATCAAGAAAACCAGAACGACGCCCCTACATCCACAATCAGATGGCATGGTGGAAAGATTCAATCGCACCCTGGAAGAACATCTACGGAAAGTGGTGGACAGTGGCCAACGAGACTGGGATGAGCATATTCCCAAGTTTTTACTGGCTTATAGATCGGCCATTCATGATTCCACATCCCGGACCCCAGCCAAAGTTCTGTTCGGAAATGAATTAAAGCTACCTGGCGATTTGATATTCGGTGCTACCCCAAACGACGATGTGAACCAAGATGAAGACAGTCAAAACTCTTTTAGTAAAGTCCACGATGCAGTCCGACATCGAATAAAAATGGTTAGCAACCGCATGAAGGCAAGGTACGATCGAGCGGCAAATACCGATGGGTTTCAAGAAGGGCAACTGGTACTATTGTTCAACCCACAACGAAAGAAAGGACTATGCCCCAAATTACAAACGCACTGGGAAGGACCCTACAAGATTGTCACGAAAATAAATGACGTCGTTTATCGCATCCAGAGGAGCGACAGTCCCAGGTCGAAGATGAAAGTTGTACATTTGGAGCGGCTGACCCCCTACGGAACGGGAACTGTGCCTATTCGGGACGAACAGGCTTAAGCGGGGGGCAATGTTACGAATATAACTTTAGATTTAAGTTAATTTAGATGAGTTCCGTTAATTTAAGAATTTGAATTGTAACGTAAATTTCTACTACGCAGTTTATTTGAATAACTTCACAACAACAACTACTGTATAGATTTTTCTACATCCTTCCATTTCCTCTTTCATTTTCTATTTTGTTGCTGACGTACAATTCTTGTTAAACGTCATCATTGATGATCGCTTAATTCCTCTTTCTTTGTTACCCCCTCGCCTGTGTATGTGTTGTTGTTATTGTTCACTCAATGTAAGTTTGTATGTGTTGTTGTTATTGTTCACTCAATGTAAGTTTGTATGTGTTCGTTGCATTGGTAGATTGTTCGTAATCTAGGCGTTACCAGATCGTCTAGAAACTTCTGTAGCGACAGGCGAGGCTCATATAAATAGGGGAAATGGAAAGGCAGTTAGTCAGTTGTGAATCAGATCGCGAATTGAAACCGTCGAGTAAAGTAAAGTGCAAAGTAATGTTGTGTGAATAAAATCATTGTAATAATCGTAATCCGAAAGAACCCGCGTTTTATTTGGTACGAGCTGTATTGGGAAATAAAACAACGTCTACACGGGATTAAGTAAAATCCAAGAACGTAACAATACTTTCGATTATTTTTAAGAATTTTCAAGGATATCATCGTTAATTTTTTAAAGAATATTCTTTCCATGACTCCAAAATATATAATTCTGGATTCTCTTAACACATTTTGTAAGGACTCTTAAACATAAAACCGTGGACAATATGTAAAATGTTTTTTCAAATAACATTTTTTAAGACTTTCAAGGATATATTCGTGTATTTTTAATATAATATTTTTTCAAGGAATTTAAAGGATATACTCGTGAATTAAAAAAAAATATTTTTTCCACAATTTTAAAGAATATAATCCCGGATATATTTTTTAAGGACTCTCAATGTTTTTAAAGGATATAATTGTGGATCTTTTAAAATAATATATATTTTAAACTTATATTTTTTCAAGGATATAATCATGAATTTTTAAAAGAATATTTTTATAGGGACCTTCAAGTCGTGGATTTTTAAGGGAATATGTTTTTCACGGATTTTAAAGGATATAATCGTGGATTTTTAAAAGAATATCTTTTAAAGGATATAATCGTGGATTTTTAACAGAATATTTTTTAAAGGATATAATCGTGGATTTTTAACAGAATATTTTTTAAAGGATATAATCGTGGATTTTTAAAAGAATATTTTTTAAAGGACATAATCGTGGATTTTTAAAAGAATATTTTTTAAAGGACATAATCGTGGATTTTTAAAAGAATATTTTTTAAAGGACATAATCGTGGATTTTTAAAAGAATATTTTTTAAGAGATATAATCGTGGATTTTTAACAGAATATTTTTTAAAGGATATAATCGTGGATTTTTAACAGAATATTTTTTAAAGGATATAATCGTGGATTTTTAACAGAATATTTTTTAAAGGATATAATCGTGGATTTGGATTCATGAATATTTTTTAAAGGATATAATCGTGGATTTGGATTCATGAATATTTTTTAAAGGATATAATCGTGGATTTTTAAAAGAATATTTTTTAAAGGATATAATCGTGGATTATTGAAAGAATATTTTTCCTTTAAAAGGTATAATCGTGGAATTTTAAAAGAATAATGTTTATGGACTTTCAAGGATCTTCAGGGATATGATCGTGGATTTTTAAAGAATAGTTTTTATGGACTTTCAAGGATCTTCAAGGGTGTGATCGTGGATTTTTAAAGAATAGTTTTTATGGACTTTCAAGGATCTTCAGGTCCTCTAAAGGATTTTGGAGGGTATTATTGTGGATTTTTATAATAATATGTTTTTATGGATTTTGAACGATATAATATTGGATTTTTAAAATAATTTTTTTACCGGGACCTCCAGCTTTTTTTGAGGATATAATCGTGGATTTTTAAAAGAATATTTTTTCAGGGACTTCCAGAGATTTTGGAGAATATATAGTCGTGGATTTTTAAAAGAGTTTTTTTACCGGGATCTCCAGCGATTTTGAAGGATATAATCGTAGAATTTTAAATGAATATTTCTTAAGGACTCTCAAGGATACAATGGCAGATTTTTAAAAGAATATTTTTCAGGGATTTCCCCAGATTTTGGAGGATATAATTTTTTTAAAATAATATTTCTAAGGACTCTCAAGGATACAATCGCAGATTTTTAAAAGAATATTTTTTCAGGGATTTTCCGTGATTTTGGAGGATTTAATGGACTCTCAAGGATACAATCTCAGATTTTTAAAGAATATTTTCTTAGCGGGCATTCAATGCTATAAACGTGAGTTCTTTTTAAGAACGTTTTTAGGACTTAAGAAAAGAATGGGACTGTTTAAAGACTTGCGATAAAAATTTTACATAATGAAACAAGTATTTAAAAAAATATGTTTTCAAAAACTTTCCTGCAAAATCGTTGGATTCCTCAAAGAAAATTTTTCATGGAGTTCCAGGCTAGGACTTCTAAGAAGGATAATATTTTTCAAGGACATGGAAAAACTTGGATATTATAAAAATATTTTCCAAGAACTTCGTAGTAAAAAAGTTGAATTAAAAAAAATATTTCTTTCAATGATTTGAAAGGACAATATTTTCGAAGGATGTAACCATGGATTTTTTTAGAATATTTGTTAAAATATCCTCAATACGATAATCTTGAACACAATAATCAAGAATTTTATTTAGAAAAAAAGTTTAAAAACTTTGTACAGACGTGAAATTTTTATAGAATACTTTTGAAGGTCCTCCATAAAGAGTATAAAAAATTTCGACCCCATTCGGGTTATCATGCCACTCTTGTGCCTGTCACTTCTAGCATTTTGTTGCTCTACTCATCACTTCCATTGAATTGGTTGGTTTGTTTGTTTGTTTGTTTTGTAAAGTGTAATTGTCTCATTGTCAACTGTCAGTGCTGAAGTGTATAAAACACACTGTGTAAACACTGTGGCTGAATGACAGCCATGTTGGCCTCAAACAATATCAAAATATGCATATGAATCTAATTCGTGGTTATCTCAAACACTCACACAATCACACACACACACACACTCAATGACCCTTAACCCCCCAGAGTGGTGAAACGAGTATGCAGGATATACAAATGTATTCATGTATGCATGTGTGTGTCTGTGTTTGTGTGCAAAATAATAAACAAAAGGTCCTTGTGTAAACTACACATTTGAGCAATCACACAAACACTTACACTTTGGTCAATTGACTCAAATAAATAAAAGTTTTTGTTGTTGCTGCTATCGTTTTTGTTGACACTACTACAATGCCACTCTCTATGTGCTGTGACATGGCAACCTAAATAATAATAACAATAATAATAAAAAAAGAGGCACACACACACACTTTGACATTGATAGATTTGTTTATAAACATTGGCAACTCAGGCTCCCTAGATATCGAGGAGACCCCAATTCACCAATTTCACCCCCCCCCCCCCCCCCCTCCACTACTCTCCATTGTTGTGGTACAATTTAATGACCATGTAGTGTCACTGTCAATCAATAAATAAATGATGGAATGGATTGGGAGAGGGAGTGGGGAAGGGGGAGGGTTAGATTTGACCCGAACAAAAATATCATGGCTTTTTGCTGCAATTTAATAAAGCAAAAGGGAGTTGGACGATAGAAAGGAAGGAAGGAAGGGGTGGAGAAATCAAAAGCAAAAATAGAAAAATAACTTTTAGGCTTTTTGATCCATTCACATAGAATGGAAAAAAAATGAAAAAAAGTAATAATCAAATAGAAACACCACTTTGAAAAATATATGACAATATGTCAAAAAGTTTAATAGAATTTTCAATTGGATTTTGTTTTTTTTTTTTTTTTTTTGTCACACATAAATTTTTCAAAAATAATGGGGATTAAATTTAGTTTGATATGGATTTAAAGTTGAAAGAGATTTAAAGGATTTTTTTTCCTTTGAAAATGTATATCAGATATATACATATATGTATTTGTGTATGTATATATGAAAAATAATAAATTGATGCATTTTAAAATTAATTAATTTTCTTTATTTTTTCAGAAGAACTGGTGAGTTTTGAAAGCATTAAAAAAGCGATAAATGCATTGCCACCATGGCGTATAAGTATTAAAAGGAATCATACGCAACAGTGCAGCGATGTGTAAGTAATATTTTTTGTTAAAAATTACTGATTTTTTTAAAGGATTTTTCAAAGAAAATGAATTTTGAATGGGGTTTCAAGGACTCTCAGGGTCATAATCGTGAATTTTCTTGGATGGATTTTAAAAGAATATTTTCTCAAGGACTTCTTAAGTCATAAACGAGTGTTTTTCAAAATGTTCTTCAAAGATGTTCAAACGTGGATTTTAAAGAATAATTTGTCAAGGGACCTCAAGGCTGTAAATTTGTATTTTTTTTGGAATAGTTTTTTAAGTACTTCCAAGGACTCCAAGACTCTAAAAGGATGATTTTTAGACTTCCAAGGGTATAAACGTTGTATTTAAAAGAATATTTTTTTTGCAAGGATATACAAGGCTATAATCGTTGATTTTTAAAATATATTTTTAAGGATATCTAAGGCTATAAATGTGGATTTTTAAATAATATTTTTCAAGGACATCGAAGGCAAAAAACGTGGTTTTTTAAAACTATTTTTTAAAGGACCTCAAAGGATTTTTAGTTAATATTTTTTCAAGGACTTCCAAGGCAACAAACGTGGATTTTTAAAGAAATTTTTTTAAAGGACCTCCAAGAATTTTTATTGATTACTGTTTCAAAGACTTCCTAAGCTATAAACGTGGATTTCCAAAGAATATTTTTTAAAGGGCCTCCAAGGATTTTTAGTGATTACTTTTTCAAAGACTTCCAAGGCTATAAACGTGGATTTCTAAAGAATATTTTTTAAAGTACTTCCAAGGATTTTTAGTGATTAATTTTTCCAAGACTTTCAAGGCTATAAACGTGGATTTCTAAAGAATATTTTTTAAAGGATCTCCAAGTATTTTTAGTGATTACTTTTTCAAAGACTTCCAAGGCTATAAACGTTGATTTCTAAAGAATATTTTTTAAAGGACCTCCAAGGTTTTTTAGTGATTACTTTTTCAAAGACTTCCAAGGCTATAAACGTGGATTTTTAAATGATATTTTTTAAAGGACCTCAAAGGATTTTTAGTGATTATTTTTTCAAGGACTTCCGAGGCTATAAACGTGGATTTTTAAAGAATATTTTTAAAGGACCTCTAAGGATTTTTAGTGATTACTTTTTCAAAGACTTCCAAGGCTATAAACGCAGATTTCTAAAGAATATTTTTTAAGGGACCTCCAAGGATTTTTAGTGATTACTTTTTCAAGGACTTCCGAGGCTATAAACGTGGATTTTTAAAGACAATTTTTAAAGGACCTTCAAGGGTTTTTAAGAATATTTTTTCAAGGACATCCAGGAATTTTTAAAGAATATTTTTTAAAGGACATCCAAGGGTTTTTAAGAACATTTTTTCAAGGACATCCAAGAATCTTTAAAGAATATTTTTTCAAGGCTTCCGATGCTATAAACGTGAAGAAGGGAGTCTCTATAGACGACCAGAAGGGAGTCTTTATAGACGACCAGAAGGGAGTCTTTATAGACGACCAGAAGAGAGTCTCTATAGACGACCAGAAGAGAGTCTCTATAGACGACCAGAAGAGAGTCTCTATAGAGGAGCAGAAGGGAGTCTCTATAGACGACCAGAAGAGAGTCTCTATAGACGACCAGAAGGGAGTCTCTATAGACGACCAGAAGGGAGTCTCTATAGACGACCAGGAGGGAGTCTCTATAGACGTCCAGAAGGGAGTCTCTATAGACGACCAGAAGGGAGTCTCTATAGACGACCAGAAGGGAGTCTCTATAGACGACCAGAAGGGAGTCTCTATAGAGGAGCAGAAGGGAGTCTCTATAGACGAGCAGAATGGAGTCTCTATAGACGAGCAGAAGGTAGTGTCTATAGACGACAAGAAGGGAGTTTCTATAGACGACCAGGAGGGAATCCCTATAGGCGAACTGGAAGCAGTCTCTCTATCCGAGCTTGAGGAGTTATAAATATGAATTTTTTGAAATAGAACTTTCAAGCCTGGAAACATGGAATTTCAAAGGAAGGGTTTCAAGGACTTTCAAGGCGCTGATTGTGGCTTTTAAGGCTTTAAACGTGAACTTTCAAATTATAATTTTTCAAGGATTTCTAAGTCTAAGTCTATTCTAAGATTTTAAAAAACAATGTTAATAGTTTTTTAAAAATTATTTTTTTTTAAAGGAGATCCAAGGCTGTAAACGTATATTTTTAAAGAATATTTGCACAAAGACTACAAAGGTTATAAATCTGGATTTTTAAATTGAATTATTGCGAGGAATTCCGCGGATTTTTAAATATTTTTTTTCAAGGATTTCCGTTATATTTATATTTAATTTTTAATTTTTTGAATATCCCCAAGCATATTTTTTTTAGGACTTCCAATACGTGGATTTTAAACGAGAAAGAAGGCCTCGTCTCTCTAGACGAACAGGAGGTAGTCTCTTTAGACGACAAGGATAGAGTCTCTGAAGACTTCCAGAGGGAAGTCCCTACAGAAGACCGGAAGGGCGTCTCTGTAGGAGTCCAGAAGGGGGCAGGAGGAGTTTTAAATTCTTTTTTAAAAAATATTTTTCCAAGGACTACCAACGTGGATTTTTGAAACAAATAATTTCAAGGACTTACTACGAGGATTTTTAGAGAATATAATTTCAAGGACTTCCGAGGGCTTTAAATCTTGATTTTTATATGATATTTTACCAGTACTTCCATGTTTGGATGTTTATATATTGCAAAAGCATTAGCAAGGACATCCAAAATTTGCTTATTTGATTCAAAGAATGTTTTTCAAGGACATTCACCACTAGAAATGCGGACTTTCAACATTTCTTGCAATGACTTCCGAGGGAAAAAAACTTGAATTTTATAGAATATTGGATCAAGGACTTCCAACGATATAAGCGTTTATTTTTAAGCATATTTTTCAAGGATTTGCAGGCTTACGAGATTGTGAAATAAGATTTATTTTTAAATTTAAGGAAATTCAAGGCTGTAAACATGGATTTAAAAAAAAATGTTCTTAAGGAGTTTCAGAATATATATTTTTTCAAGGACTTCTAAAAGCTATAAACATGGATTTTTAAAGAATACTTTTTTCAAGGACTTCCAAGGATATAAACATGAATTTGTAAGGAGAATTTTTTTAAACCAAGCAAAGGGAAATTTTTAAGTTTTTTTTTCTAAAGTCTCCGCATTGTAAAATTCTGTTTTGCATTCTTTTTCAAACTCACGAATTGCGAACACTTTTCCTTCCAATTCAAGTTCAATGTGTACTCAACAAATAGTTGATTATGCTCATCACCAACTGCAGTTTTCTTTACTGTTACTTTTGTTTAGATTTTCCTTGCGATTTTCGCTGACAAGAAAATGTTTTCTTTTTTTTTTCACGTGAAAGCAAACAATATTTCTGCTCTGATTTGCTTTGCAATTCATTATTTAAACAAAGTTTTTCATTTCAGTTTTCAGTTGCGTTCTCTCCCCGTTTTTGTCATTGCGAATTCCTGCAATGACATCATTATTGAAAAACTTTTAACGAGAGAAATGGTCCTCGTCGTCCTCGTTGCGCGATATTTGATTCCTGTTCATAAATCACTGGATTTGTTCACAACTTTAAAGAAAAGAAACAAAAAAGTGCAAGCTAACAAAAAATTCGGAAAAAAGAAAATCTTGGCACATATTTGGGATGAAAAACTTGTATAAATCTTTAATAGTTATACAAGGCAAACAAAAACAATAACAACAGCAATGCAAAAGAAAAGAAAATAAGCCAGCTGAAATCAAGGTAAACTCTAAGAAAGAGGATAGAATTCATAGTACTCCTGTTGTCCTTATTCTGTGTAAGGACATAGAGAAGTATATTTTATAGCCATTGAGGGTAATTGGAATGAAAATTCAATTGATATATGGAAGTGCTTGTGAAAATACTTTATAAAAATCCAATTTTATAGCCTTGAAAGCCCCTGATAAATATTCTCTAAAAAGCGACTTTTATGACCTTGGAAGTCCTTGAAAAAATATGTAATTTAAAAATCTACATCCATAGCCTTGGCAATTCTTTTTTTTTTAAACCTGATTATGGCCTTGGAAGTCCTTTAGCCTTAAAAGTCCTTGAAAAAATATTCGTAAAAGTGCATATTTATAACTACTTATGCTTGTTTATAGAGAGTCCTTTCAGTTCTTCCATATTCCTGCTCGTCTATACATGCTCCGTCAGCTCGTCTATAGAGACTCCCTCCTCTGCTCGTCTATAGAGACTCCCTCCTCTGCTCGTCTATAGAGACTCCCTTCTGTTCGTCTATAGCGACTCGCCTCTGTTCGTCTATAGCGACTCGCCACTGTTCGTCTATAGCGACTCGACCCCTTACTCGTCTATAGAGACTCTACTCGTCTATAGAGACTCCCTTCTCTGCTCGTCTATGGAGACTCGCTTTTTTGCCCTACTATATAGAGACTCCCTCCTCTGCTCGTCTATAGATACTCCCTCCTCTGCTCGTCTATAGAGACTCCCTCCTCTGCTCGTCTATAGAGACTCCCTCCTCTGCTCGTCTATAGAGACTCCCTTCTGTTCGTTTATAGCGACTCGCTTTGTTCATCTAAAGAGACTCGACCCCTTACTCGTCTATAGAGACTCGAGCCTCTACTCGTCTAGAGAGACTCGAGCCTCTACTTGTCTAGAGAGACTCGAGCCTCTACTCGTCTAGAGAGACTCGAGCCTCTACTCGTCTAGAGAGACTCGAGCCTCTACTCGTCTAGAGAGACTCGAGCCTCTACTCGTCTAGAGAGACTCGAGCCTCTACTCGTCTAGAGAGACACGAGCCTCTACTCGTCTAGAGAGACTCGAGCCTCTACTCGTCTAGAGAGACTCGAGCCTCTACTCGTCTAGAGAGACTCGAGCCTCTACTCGTCTAGAGAGACTCGAGCCTCTACTCGTCTAAAGAGACTCCAAGCAGCTCGTCTATAGCGACTCCCAGAAGCTCGTCTATAGAAACTTCCAGCAGCTCTATAGATACTCCTTGCTGGTCGTCTACAGTCCCTTCTTGTCGTCCAAAGAGACTTCATG